CCCTCCGGATATATGCCCCTTCCGTTTATAAGCCCATCCAAGTTGTCTTAACCCAGGGCTCAGAAGCGGCAGTTTACGATCTGTCTACTAGATCACATTGGCTTGGTATATATTAACAGAAGTTCTTTTTATGTGTGTACGATTCGGTCTGCCATGCACAAATTGAAGATCAATAATTTTCTCACGCCAAAAACGCGACTCTTTAAAAAGATTTAAAAAACCTCCGCGTTGACAACGCACTGAACCCTATCTTGAGGACTTCAACCCACGGCCACTCCGCTTAATTATATCTTTCTTTCGGGATCAGTCAAAGGGATGGGAAAATAAACTTTTCCAAAAAGTCTGATTTCGCTGTTCAAATGGAGTGACGACGTTTTCAAGGGTCTTTGAAAATCTCCACGATGGAGAGCGTTTTCTGGGAAAATTTTCCGTTTCTGTGAAGAAAGTGAGTGAGTCATCGTTTTCAGTTTTTCAAGTGTGAATGTTAGGTCAACAAATATTCCAAAATTAAAGGTTTTCATTTTCCAAGGCGCGCGGTCCGGCTTAACTTTCGACGGCAACCCAGCAAAAAAGTGTCTTGTGAGTACAGACAACATTTCATAACGGATGAATTCCTCTCCCATTTGTTTTTTGAAATCTCTCCATTTAGAATTTAACTGACCCTTCAAAGAAACTTATACTGGGGAAAATTCTTTCCTGTCGATATTTTGGAGGAACAATATTTACACTTAATTATAACAGTACAGCCAGAGCTAAATCATTTTATAGGAGAAATTTTATTCAAATGGAAAGAAACTTGTAAATTGAATTACTTATAAAGTATGTCGGCTGATTGACAATGGAAAGGGTTAAACCGAAGTATAGTTATACATGTAAGCTACAGTTTAATTTAAACAGTTTTGTTTCTCATCTGATTAGATATAATGTAGAACAGAAGTAAAATGTAACTCAGCTTACGTTTACTTCCCTCCTTTTTCGATCGCATGATACCATCGTTAATCAGTATTTTTTTTACTGCTGACATCAGTCACCATATTAAAAGTAAGTGTAGTTTTCCCAAAAGTCAAAGAATTACATACAATTTCCGTCGTAAACTGAAAGAGACTTTTTCATGTGTAGAATCGTGTAGCAGGAATATAATAATATGAGAGTCAGAGGTTGGTCTATACTAGGGCTATAATTTTAAAAAATTACTTGAGTAAATTACTTGGAAAACGTTGTAAACTAGTTACTGTGCGTTTCCAGGCCCATAGATATTGTGTCCCTTTGGAATCATAGCGCAGCGTGCGCACTGTCTGAACGAGAGTTTCACCCTGACGAGATAGTCTTTTGGTTGCATGATGGTCTTTGTAAAACCTGCTGCTGAGGTGCTTCATATCTAGAAGCATAAATTGCTGAAAAAGATATCACGGCATACATTAATATCACTATTTGTAAGCATAATAGAGGTATATAACAACTCGGTAAAAACTATCAAGTTATCAATCGAGACACCTTTTTACAAGCTCATAGTACGCTCCAATCCTATATCTGATTATTGTTGATGGTTGACCCTCCCCCCTTCCCCTCCCGTTTCATGTCACCAGTCCCAGACTCTTTCGTTATAGCGGCTATTATGAGACACTGTGATTTACCAGCCAAAACAGAAAGAAAGATCAATTTTGTAACCAGCCTATTGAATGTATCGGCCTACATGTTAATGGCTCCTTGCAGGCTTCGTAACAATTCTGTTCCTCCAGCTCCAACTCTGAGTTCGTCTTCGTATTCCCTGATACTTCAGGGTCTTGGAGAAGTTTGTAAACTGATTCCTGTGCCTTTCCAGTCCCATAGATATGGGGTCCTGGAATATTTAGCGCAGCGTATGTACTGTCTAAATGAGAGTTTCCCTCTAATGAGCCGGTCTTTAGGTTGCGTGATGGTCTTTGTAAAACCTGCTGCTGAGGAACATTGTATCTAGAAGCATAAATTGCTGAAAGGATATCACAGCATAAATTAATATCACTATTTGTAACAGTAAGCATATTAGAGGTACATAATAACTCTGTAAAAACCACCGAGTGACTAATTAAAAGACCATTTTACAGAGTGATAGTTCACTCCAATTCTCACTGACCTGCAGGGAGCCTTATTGATGTTGATGCTTGATCCCCCCCCCCCTTACCCTCGTTTCATGTCGTTAGTCGTAGTCTCCTTTATAATAGCGGCTATTAGAGTTACGCACGAACAGCGACCTCAAGAGAGACTGAGCCACGCCCAAAGTATGATATTGGGTAAACGCCAGTCACAAGGGAGAACTTAACGGTGCCTTACATAACGTATAAGCTTAGTTCTTGATATTATGAAACTCTATCTGATTTTCCAGCCAAAAAGAGAAAGGAAAAAGAAGTAACCGATATAGCTGATTTTGTAACCAGCCTATTGAATGTATCGGCCTACATTTTAATGGCCCCTGGCAGGCTTCGTAACCATTTTGTTCCTCCAACTCCAACTCTGAGTTCGTCTTCGTATTCCTTGACATTGCACATGTATTCTAGTAAAACAAATTCAATGCAATGACAAAAGTGTCATAAAACAGTTTAGAAAATAATGCAATCAATCAAGTTAATTACTGACCCATCAAGAATGGTAAGCCCGCTTTTTGACGAGGATGAAAATTAAAAGCACCTCAGAAGGTTGGAAACTGTAAAACAACTGTTATACATCCCAATCTTTTTCCTAGACTCTTTGCTCCCAGTAGGAGGAAGAAGTCTGCTACTAGGGATCCAACGAGATAATAACGTGTCCCCGGATGATGCACATCCACATCAGAAAAACTGAACTTGGTTACCTAATTAGTTACCTGAATTCGTTACATAAGTCCATCACGATCTTGGCAACAAAAATTTTAATTTTAAACGTGTAGATGGTGCTAGAATTTGAAAGAGTAAGTCGAACTTAAACTCACTTATTTACCTGGTTGGTTTGATCAGAGGTACTTGTATGAGTGTTCTTTCTGTGAGTAATAAATAATCGTGTCAATCAAGCCTAAAGTCAAAACACAGCTGCACGTAAGTCAAAAACCAAATGCCTATGACTCTGACATGGAGCGAAATATTGTAGCAATCATTTTTTTGGCATCGTAAGAAATCTAAACTTAGTTTTCAACAATGTTAACAATCCACGGACTCGTCTTGTTTATGTCCTATTAAAAATTGTCACTGAGAAGGCGCTGGATTTAGTGTAAGCCACAAAAGTGTACAGTTTCCCTTTGCAGCAAATCTCGTGCAGGTATGGGAAACTTCTTTAAGATAAATACACAGTCGTCCCACAAACATAACGGAAGTTATATCTTAAAAAATTCTTGTTCTCGTGTTATTCATGGACAGTCAGCCGCGTTCACACATGGCCCTAAACTTTTATCAAATGGTTACCTTGATCTACGACGTCGACAGACAAAAACTACAGCAACTAGTAACAACACAAATGCCGCGGAAACAGTCACTCCCGCTATGATTCCTGGCTGAGAGAACGAGCTGGCTTCATCATACCTCTGTTTTCCTCCTAAGCTGGCCTGAGAACATGAAACAGAGTAAAAGCCCTACAAAAACTAGTATGAAGAGACCACTATAAAGACAACATTATTGAAGAGCGGCTCTAAACTATATAGCCCCACACAAATACACATAGGCGTACGGGCACCTTCGGACTTGGGGGGAGGAGCGGTGACCTTATTACCCGAAAAAAATTACCCAATGTCCGAAAGAGTGTTGTTTAAACGCACTCAAATCGCAGTAAAAACAAAAACGTTCATAATTCCGGCTTACGTCTCATGAAACTGTTATCATTCCAAAAATAGTTACTTTGAAACCTCGCATACTCTATTTACCTTGATCGACAGACTAGTAAAATCAGAAACTTATAAAAGAAACAGTTAATTCTTCCTGGTATGAAAAGTTCGAGAAAATTTTAAAAAGACTCTTTGTGGAGCGACCCTGGAGCCATTCAAAACGGCTCTTTTCAGAGCCACCATAAAAACAAAGTCGTGGACCTCTTTTACTTCAATTGTTTTGTCATTGTTTTGTTGATGGAAATAATACCCATATCATGGATTTCCACGATAATATATATAGCTTTTCCAAAACAGAATATAACTGCAACGAACGAGATATTACGTTGAACACGAGAAGAGGTAATCCATATCTACAAGGAACCATGTATTAGTTCATTATAAAGACTTCCTGATAACGACGTTTATGACGATTTTTCGAAGA